AGATTACAATGCTGAGTTCACAGAATTTGGTTATTGTGTGGTTTACATGTAGTAAAATACTAATTACAGAGGGGGCCGCTAGAATACCTAGCATGGCTAGGCATTTTGGGCAGACTTAGATTAATTCTTAACTTTAGAATATTACAAATTATGAGGTAAGTTGGTATTATGGCTAAGTGACTAAATACTAGTGTGTGAGTTTAGCAATGTGAATGCTTTTGTTTTGGCACAATGCATAGTTTAGTATTGGAGTATCACAGGCCAACTTATGACTAGTTAGGATTCATTATTTTAAGATGGAGATTTATATTTCTGTTTATGGTCAAATGGGTGAGTGGGTGTAAGTGTGAACCACCAGGTGGTATTCGTGTAATTGGTTGACAGGGTGTATCAGGGAGATACGATGTTTTCTAATGGTAGTTTTGAAGGTGATGAATATGTCTGCAGTTCTAGAGTTTTCAGGTAGGGTGTTCCAGATTTTAGGGCCTTTGACATACATTGAATTTTTGTAAAGGTGTAGTCAGACATGGGGAATGTCATAGAGATGTTTGTGTCTGGTGTAATGCCTGTGGGTTTTGTCACAACTATCAAGAAAGCATTTTAGGTCAAGGTTAATATTGGAATTTAAGGTCTTGTAGATGTAGATTGCACAGTAGTAAGTGTGGATGTACTGAACAGGGAGTAAGTTTAGATCTGTGAAGAGTGGGGGGGTGTGTTGCCAGAGATGGGATTTAGTGATTATTCTTACTGCAGCTTTTTGTTGGGTTATTATTGGCTTTAGGTGTGTTGCTGCAGTTGATCCCCAAGCACAAAGAGCATAGGTGAGGTATGGGTAAATAAGTGAGTGGTATAGTGTGAGAAGGGCATTTTGCGGCACGCAGTATCGTATCTTGGAGAGGATCCCAACCGTTTTGGATACTTTTTTGGTTGTGTGTTGGATATAGGTGCTGAAATTCAGGTTGTTGTCGAGGTATAGGCCTAGGAATTTGCCCTCATTATGTCTGGCAATTAGAGTGTTGTCGATCTTAATGTTAATTTGCGCAACTCCTGCTCTGCTACCAAACATAATATAGTAGGTTTTGTCAGTGTTAAGCGTAAGTTTATTGGCTGTCATCCAAGTCGATATTTTGATCAGCTCCTTGTTAACAATGGTGTTGAGGGTGGCAAGATTCGGGTGAGAGATGACATAAGTCGTGTCATCAGCAAAGAGAATGGGGTTCAGGTGTTGGGATACGTTTGGAAGATCATTGATGTAAATGAGGAAGATCAGGGGACCAAGGACACTTCCCTGCGGAACTCCAATATCAAGTGACCGTGTTGTTGATGCTGTGTCTTTAATGGTGACATACTGATACCTATTAGTAAGGTAAGATTTGAAATATGCAAGCACATGGCCTCTTATACCATTATGGTCAAGTTTGTGGAGTAGGATGCCATGGTCTACTGTGTCAAAAGCTTTTCTTAGGTCAGTAAAAATTCCTAGTGGATATTCCTTATTTTCCAATGCTGTGTAAAGCAGATCTAGCATTTTTATAATTGCATCATTAGTGCTTTTATTTTTTCTGAATCCAAATTGGCAGGGGTTGAGTATGTTTTGTGCCGTTATAAATGAATATAGTCTCCTGTGCACGAGTTTCTCAAAGATTTTGGATAGCGATGGTAAGTTTGATATTGGCCTATAGTTGTTTAAATCTGTAGGGTCACCACCTTTATGTATTGGTGTAACCCTTGCTGTCTTGAGTAGTTTTGGGAAGGTGCTAGTTTCTAGTGACTTGTTAAAAAGTAATGAAATAGCATGCGAAAGGACATGGAAAGGACATGGACCTCTCGCTTGTACAATAATGGTGGGACATGAGACAGATTCCCCGACTTATTTTTAAGTGACTTTATAATCTCGGTGACTTCCGTGGGCTCAGTTGGTACATGATAGAAGGAATTTGGGAAATTCCCATCTAGGTAGTCCCTGCCATGGGCATTGGTACGTTGGCGATATTAGATCCTATGGTTGAGAAGAAGTCATTTATCTTGTTAACTGTGTCAGTGGGATGCCGTGGTGTTTCATTAGGTTTAGTTAGGACAATATTCTTGTTTTTTTTAGTTTGTGGGTCCCTAGAATCTGAGAGAGTGTTTTCCAAGTCTCTTTTATATCTCCTCTTGTGTCAGTGAATCTGCTGGAGTAGTATAGTTGTTTGGCTTTCTTTATTACTTTGGTGAGAGCTGATGAATAGTGTTTAAGAATATCTTTGTGTATTAAGCCCTGTCTGTATTGCTTTTCATATTGGTGTTTCTTATCCATAAGAAAAATTAACAAAATTATTTATTGAAAATTCTTGGACCCTGGTGCACACTTTGAAATTTGGCCTCTGGACCCTGAAAGGGTTAAAGCCAGGGCATCCAGCTTCTTCTCATTCATAACATCCACAATCATCTCTTTCTTATCATTCGCACAACATCCACCCACATTCAGACATCCCACTTTGAAAATTTTCTTCTTCTTATTCTTCTTAGTAATTATTACAGGAAAAGGGATTACCAGCCCATTGTTTCCGGCATTTTAGTTTACTTTTACAACACACATGGCTTATGGAGGAAAGATTCTTATTCTACTTCCCAATGGATGTAAAAGGAAAAGTAATAAGAAACAAGACCTATTAAGTTAAAATCAAAGAAAACTCAGGTGAGTGTGTATAGATAAATGTGTACATGTATGTGTAGTGTGACCTAAGTGTAAGTAGAAGTAGCAAGACATACCTGTAATCTTGCATATTTATGAGACAGACAAAAGACACCAGCAATCCTACCATCATGTAAAACAATTGCAGGCTTTCGTTTTACACTCACTTGGCAGAATGGTAGTACCTCCCTGGGTGGTTGCTGTCTACCAACCTACTACCTATTATTATTATTAATGAAAGGTAGGGGATATGTAGACGAAGTGTTAATGCTGAAGCATGTGAGTGAATGATAGAATTAGATGAAGGTAAGGAACTTTTTATTGCATTTAAGGATTTAGAAAAGGGATATATGATAGGGTGGTAGGGGAGCAATGTGGCAGTTGTTGCATGTGTATGTAATAGGTGGTAGGTTACCTAAAACAGTAGAGTTTTTATGTGACAGTGAGGCCCAGGTTAAGGTATGTAGGAGAGAGGGAGATGATATTCCAGTAAAAGCAGGCCTTAGGCATGCCTACTTTTACTGGTTGTTTAACATTTTTATGGATGGGGTTGTAAAAGAAGTAAATGCTAGGGTATTAGGGAGAGGTATGGGATTGAGAGAATGAATCTGGTAAAGTGGGAGTTGTCACAGATGCTTTTTTGCTGATGACTGATCATGTAGATATTCTGAAGAGAAGTTGCAAAGGTTGGTGAGCAAATTTGGGAAGGTATAACTAAAAGTGAACACAGGAAAGAGCAAGATGATGAGATTATCAAAAAATCTAAGCAATGAAAGATTGGATATCAGCTTGGAGGAAGTGTGGAGGAGGTAAATATGTTCAGATATTTGGGAGTGGATTTGATTGTGGATGGTTCTGTGGAAGATGAGGTAAACCATAGAATTATTGAAGGAAAAAGAGTGGTGACTTGAGGCATCTGTGGAGACAAAGAACTTTCCATGGAGGCAAGAGGAAAATATACCAGAGTAGTATAGTGGAACCAACAGTGTTGTATGGGTGTGAAGCATGGGTTTTAAGCATTGCGGTGAGGAGGAAGCTTAGGCAACAGGGTTCTCATATTTGAGGGGGTTGCATGGTGTGAATATTATGAAGATAATTTGGAGTTTGGAGATTAAGAGAATGTCTGGGGTTACCAAAAGTACTATTCAGAGAGAGTATTTAAATCTGGGGTGGAGGGAAGGAAAAATAGGAGTTGTCCTTGGAATGGCTGTAGGGAGGGGGATAAAGGAGGTTTTTAGTGCTAGGGGTCTGGGCTTGTGTGAATTTGTTTAGAATGATTTAAGACAAGTGCCTTTTATGATTTCACATGCTCTTGGAGTGTGAGCAACGTAACATTTATGAAGGAATTCAGGGAAAACTGGTTGCCTGAACTTGAGTCTTGGAGATAAGAAGTACAGTGCCTGCACTTTCAAGGAGGGATGGGGATGTTTAATCTGAAATGTGATGTTTGTTCACTTTTGGCAAGATAGTTATTGAATGAATGATAGTGAATGCTTTCTCCTTTGTCAGTCGCCCCACCTCAATGGGAGATGGCTGTGTATTAAAAAATTATTAATGGGGATAATGTGCAAGTGTACCTAGGTAGTAGGTTGGTAGACAGCAACCACCCAGGAAGGTACTACCGTCCTGCCAAGTGAGTGTAAAACGAAAGCCTGCAATTGTTTTACATGATGGTAGGATTGCTGGTGTCCTTTTTTTCTGTCTCATGAACATGCAAGATTTCAGGTACGTCTTGCTACTTCTACTTACACTTAGGTCACACTACACATACATGTACAAGCATATATATACATACCCCTCTTGGTTTTCTTCTATTTTCCTAGTTCTTGTTCTTGTTTATTTCCTCTTATCTCCATGGGGAAGTGGAACAGAATTCTTCCTCCGTACGCCATGCATGTTGTAAGAGGCAACTAAAATGCCGGGAGCAAGGGGCTAGTAACCCCTTCTCCTGTATATATTACTAAATGTAAAAGGAGAAACTTTCATTTTTCCTTTTGGGCCACCCCCGCCTCGGTGGGATACGGCTGATGTGTTGAAAGAAAGAAAGAATGTGTAAGTGTAGTGCTTAAGAATTTTGTTCTATATTTAGTGTCTTTTAAGTATGATTTTTCTCTGCAAGCTTATTAAATTGCTTCATTGTTCAGTTTTTCAAAATTACTATATCAATTATAATTATTTAGTGTCTTCGTAAATTCAACTTTTACTTTGTAAATTCAGTTTACTGCTGTGGTAATTATTTTCTCTGTAAGTTCAATTTACTGCATAAGTAATTTATTTTTAATAGTACTTTCACTCCAGGTAATTGCTTTGATCACTGTTATTATAGGTGACCATAGTTGACCGTGATGAAAGGGAAGAGCAGAACCTGATCACACGACGAAACACACAGATGTGTGACCTGCAGCCTCCACTGTCTGACACAGGCAAGTATAGGATGTATACATTTTTACATTTTGTGATGTTTCTTCCACTTAGGGTTATACAGTACAGTGGACCCTCGCCTAACGATATTAATCCATTCCTGAGAGCTCATCATTAGCCTAAATTATCGTTAGCCGAATTAATTTTCCCCATAAGAAATAATGGAAATCAAATTAATCCGTTCCTGACACTCCAAAGTATGAAAAAAAAATTACCACATGAAATATACATTTTTATACACCCAAAAAGAAGAAGACTTGCACAATTACTACTTTACTAAATAAAGAATACATGACACTTACCTTTATTGAAAATCTGGATGATTGATGGGATGGGAGGAGGGGAGATGGTGGAATTTGTTATTGTTTGGAAGGGGAATCCCCTTCCATGAGGACTTGAGGTAGCAAGTCCTTTTCTGGGGTTACTTCCCTTCTTCTTTTAATGCCACTAGGACCAGCTTGAGAGTCGCTGGATCTCTGTCGCACAGCAAATCTGTCCATAGAGCTCTGTACCTCACGTTCCTTTAAGATTTGCCTAAAATGGGCCACAACATTGTCATTGTAATAGTCACCAGCACGGCTTGCAATAGGTGAAGGTGATTTTCATCCATAAAGGTTTGCAGTTAACCCACTTTGCACACATTTCCTTAATATCTTTTTTCAATTCCATACTAATTCTTGCCCTTTTTACCACAGGGTTGGCACTAGAAGCTTTCTAAGGGTCCATGGTGACTTATTTTGAATTTACAAGCACTAAAAACACTGGGATAATGTGAACTGTACCGAATGTATGCGTAGATGCGACTGCACTGGCGGCTTGTAAACACTGGTACCCACAGGGCAGCGTGGACAGGTCCCGGACGAATCACATTGGGCGAGTTTTTTATCTTTGGGCGGGGCAAAATTTTTACGCTCAAAGATTTCGTTAGGCGGATTTAACGTTACGCGATGCGTTCATTAGGCGAGGGTCCACTGTATTTGTTTTTGGCCTAGTTTACTTATGGTAGTGCAGTGAAACCTCAATTTAATGGACTTTGGAAGTACAGGACAACATCTGCTGGGTCTATCAATTTGGAAACATTGGATGAAGTCTGTAGGTTGCAAAATTGTCTGTTGTTATGATCACAGCAAAACAACCTCACCTATTAGTCTGTTAAATTGAAGGTTTACATTTTTGCTTAGTTTCTACTGGCTATTTGCTTTCCTTATTAGTATGTTTAATTCAAGTATTACATTTTTGGCTTAGTTTACTTTGGGTATTGTTAGTTTTGTAAGGTGTATTGCTGTTTTTGCACCTCACGTCAATTTTTTTTTTTAGGACCCTCCATCCCAACCCCTACTGCATTTGAATGTATTTTCTACTCATTTTATGTATCCCTTCTTTGTACAATGCAGATGTTTCTTAGTGGAAAATAACATAAAATATGATCACTAGGACTTTTTTTTAACATGTTGGCCATCTCCCTCTGAGGCAGGGTGACCCAAAAAACACTTATTTTCACCATCATTCACACATAATCAGTCTTTGTATAGGCACCCAAATACAAAGCTCAGATGTCACTCCAAACAGCCAATATTCCAAACCCTTCCTTTAGAGTGCAGGTATTGTACTTCCCACCTCCAAGACTCAAGTCCAGCTGACTGGTTTCACTGAATCCCTTCACATAATATTACCCTGCTTGCACTGCAACAGCTCAAGTCCCAAAAACCATTCGTCTCCGAATGCTTGCTGTATGTCCAAGCCCCTTGTACACAAAACCTCTTTCACCCCCTCTCTCCCTCCTTTTCTAGGACTAGGACATATTTATTAAAAATGGTTTGGTCCTGGGACCTTTGTCTCTCCAGATATACATTTGGAATGACCAAGGTCCCAAGACTAAAACATTTCCAATATGCATGTGCCAAGTGATTGCCTTGAGTTTTTTCCACTACTTTTCGGTATGATTTATGGGTCATTCCATGTCAAGTTGACCAGTTTTGCAAATCATCCCCACCTGACCATTTCCAATTTCAGTAAAATTTTACCTGAAGGTTGGCATGTATATCAAACTAACTTTGGGAAAATTTAGTTCATGATATGGAATAGTAGTGATGTTATGGCCCTCATAGTGGAGATAGGTGAAAATTTCACCAACCTGTGGCACACAAATCAACAATGTTCAGGTTATTGCTGTGGCAGATCTCAGAGTAAAAGTTGTGTAAATAGACATGCCTGTTTTGAGTTGATTTAAAAAATCACTGTCCTAAAACTTAATGCTTTTACTTTCTTGACAGTATGAAGCCAAAGTATGCAAAAATATCTGTTGTGTAAAATTGAATCTTGATTTCAACTGCCTATATATCTATAGAAAAACATAATTTTAGTATGACATTATTGTAGCCAGCTACCCAAGTGGACACTATCACAATCCTAAAATATCAGACTGTTTTTAGTTCCTGTGCTAATGATACCTAAAAATGCCCTCACAGACTTCATGGTGAGTCTTAGGCCATATTTGAAGACCAGTAGCAAAAAAGCAGCACAACCAATTTTCTTAAATAAACCTTCATTAGAAAGAGCAGATTCTAAACTACAAGATACATATCTGTTTTCTGGATAGGCATTTTTCCCTTGAAAGGAGAAAGCAGACATTAAAATAAGGTAATTTTTTTGGCTTGTGCAACATTATGATGAAAGCCAGGCATTTTTCAGTTGCTGTTGTTATTGAGCAACAACAGCTAGAACCTTGTGTGTAGGTGTCCTTGTACAATTTTTGGTGATTTCAGAAATTGTTATCTGAATTGAAAGGGACTGATATTTATTTTGCAAATTAAGCTTAAAGTTGTCAAAAAAAAAAAAAAGTGTCATGACAAGCGTGATGGCAAATTTTGACCTTTCTGATTTTCGACAAAACGTTACTGAAACTGAAAATTTTGTGAAAGTTACTGATTTTATGCAGTTGGATCACACATTGTTGCACATGTTTCATTATGATATATTTGAATATTTCAGTACGCTTTGCTGTTTTTTCTACAATGTAACATTTACTTGTAAATTTGAACTATAATATTTATGTCTAAATTTTTGTTTGTTTGATGTTTATTTCAACTGAATGAGTGAAAAGGATTTTATTTTTTGTAGGCAGAAAAATTAGAATATGCAGAGTTTATCAGGTCTGAAACTGAATCAAACCCAGGGCAATTGGATCTATGTGCCATTGGATTAGGCGACAATTCAACCAAGTGCCATTCTATGAAATTCTGTGCCAAGAAAATAGGCCTCAAGTTTTTCAAGGATTTTGAAGCTGAAGACCAAGAGCAGTTAAGTAAGCACTCAGGTTTGAAGTTCAATGAGGAATCAAGAATCTGTGTGCAACACAAAGCTTTTTTTTTTTTTTTTAACAATGTATGAACAGCAGGAAAGATACTGCTGTAATCCATTTTCAAAGGAAAATCACATAATTAAGAAGAGTCTTAAACTGATCAACTACTCAACTGCAGATAAGTTAAAAAAAATAAAAAAGATGTAAGGCCAGGGCAGAAATGATGCATATCTTGTCAGAAAGATACTTTTTGACAACTTTAAGCTTAATTTGCAGAATAAATATTGGTCCCTATCAAGTTAGATAATTTCTGAAATTACTACCGAAAATTGTATAAGGACTCCTAAACACGAGGTTTTTGCTCTAGTTGCTATATAACAACAGCAACTGAAAAATGCCTAGCTTTCATCATAATGTTGCACAAGCCAAAAAATCACCTTACTTTAACCCTTTGACTGTTTTGGTCATATACGTCTTACGAGGTACCGTGTTTGCCGTATATATACTCATAAATTCTAGCGGCTTCAAATCAAGCAGGAGAAAGCTGGTAGGCCCACATGTGAGAGAATAGGTCTGTGTGGTCAGTGTGCACCATATCAAAACAATCCTGGAGCATGCAGTGCATAATGAGAAAAAAAAACTGACCTTTTTTTTTTATTAAAATGCCAACTTTGTGGTCTATTTTCATATAGTATTTATGGGTCTATTCTCGTTTTCTTGGTCTCGTTTGATAGAATGGAAAACATATTATAGAAATAAAGGTGATTTTGATTGGTTTTAGTATAAAAAGAACCTGGAAATGGAGCTCAAAGTAGGGGAAATGTTTGATTTTTGCCGATGTTCAAAAGTAAACAAATGATGTCATTGTGCAATAAATGTCCAACTAGTCATTCTGATATGCAGTCATGAATGGGTTGACATTATTTATACAATTACTACAATATTGCAGTAGTCTGCATAACAGTAAATCTTATATTTTTTGTTTGAATAAAAATTCAAAATAGAAAGCAAGAGTAATATCAGAGGGGCCTGGAGACGTGACTGATGAACAAAGAAAATGTTATTTTAGAGCCTGGAATGTCTGCATTGTTCATTTTGGACCCTATTTTGAAATTGTCATATTTTTTAATTTTTGTGACATTGGCCAAATTGCAAATTTCTGACCACTTGGGTAGCTGGTTACAATAATGTCATACTAAAATAATGTTTTCCTGTAGAGATATAGGCAGCTGAAATCAAGATTCAATTTTACGCAACAGATTTATTTGCCTACTTTGGTTTTATGCTATGAAAAAAGTAAAAGCATATATATTTTAGGATTGCAATTTTTTAAATAAGCTCCAAAAGTTGTATAGGTATGTCTACTTACACAACTTTTATACTCTAATAGATCTGCCACAGCAAAAACCTGAAAAATTGCTGATTGTGTGCTGTGGATTGGTGAAATTTTCACCTGCCTCCTCTCTGAGGGCCATAGCATATGCGAACCTTTGTGTAAAATTTTATTGGAATTTTATTGGTGGGAACCACTGGTCCACTTGACATAGAATGAATGACCCTTATTACATTTGTATCTGGATGACCAGTTGTGATGAATTTGGCAAGGGATGTACACCTACCATCCGACTTACGACCTGCTCGACTTAGGACCACTCGACTTACGACCGTGTTTTTTATGCCAAATTTTTGGGAAATAAACAA